GAGGGGGCAACAGAAGGCGGCGCAAAAAGGGCTGCCGACGAATCTGTTGTTCGGCTTGTATCGCCACACCAGTTTGGAAAAGGCAAGGTCGTGTTCGAACAAGCACCTGGGTTGGAAGAAACGACGGCCGGTGTTGAGCTGGACGGAGAAACCAACCCGGTGAAAATCGCCTACCGCGGATAGAGAAGTTACTCACTCAGGTGACAGAAGAAAACAAGAGCCTGAAGCAGCGGCTTCAGACGGAGTCTGACCCCAGCCGGCACGGCCAAATGACAAGGAAGGTTTCTAGTGCTCCAACCCCATCGGGAGAAGACATCGCTGACATTGGTAATCTCCAAAATATCAGATCTGATCGCAGACGACAGATGAACACTCCAGCTGCAATGGCGTCAGCGATCAGCGATCCCCGACAGCCCCTTGCCCAAAGGTGGAGATTGTTCTTCGTCTTTTGTTTGCCCGTTTTATTTGGTGGTGTGGGGGGGGGGGCGGGGGGCGTTCGCTGTATTTCCATAGCACAACCTCTAATTTTTGCTATGTTTTCATGGGAAACCCTTTATTTAGCCACCAAAACCCAGGGTCACTTAGCCGCTCCGAGTCCGAACCGTCTTGGGTCACTTAGCAACCAACTGTCGGGGTCACTTGGCCACCGGATTCAACTTTAGGGCTCAGCCTTTAAACTTCAAACCTCTGCGGATTCATCTTATATCTTAAACACACCCCCTCATTTTTGTGATTCCGGTGCAGTCCACAGGATTCAACTTTAGGGTTCTTTTTTTCTTTTATCACCTCTCTTCCTGCCGCCTGAAAAGGTGTCCACCATGATGGTGGAGGCATGTTTCCGGGGAGCCTGTTTGACCTGGGGGGATTCAACCACCTACACCACACTGCAAATTTCCCTCGTTAACACATGCACAAGTTCCCAAAAGACAGAAAGGGCACGCTAAGTTTTAAGGTTTTAAGTTCTTTGGACTCATCCTACATCTTGAACATGGCACTTAATTTGGCGATTCCGGATTATCGCATGTTTCACATGCAGCTTAACAACGCCCCCTCATTGTCGAATCCGGTTCATGTGGCGATTCCGGTGCATCATACATCTTAAGCATGCCTCCTCATTTCGCGATCCGGGCTCATCATATATCTCCCCGCACACAATATATCTTAAAACTTAAAACACTTCTTAAACATGCCGCATCATTTGACGATTCCGGACTATCTTATATCTTATACACGCCCGCTGCTTTGGCGATTCCGGTTCATCATATACCTTAAACACGTCCCCTCATTTGACGATTCCGGTTCATCATATATCTACAGCGTGCCCCCTTATTTGGCGATTCCGGTTCACCATACATCTTAAACACGCCGCCTCGTTTCGCGATTCCGCCTTCTTATTTGGCGTTTCCGGTTAATAATGTTTCCTAAGCATGCCCCATCATTTGGCGTATCCGGTTCCTCATATATCTTACACACGCCCCCCAAATTGGCGAATCCGGCTCATCCTATATATCTTAAACTCGCCCCCCTCATGGGGGATTCTGGCGCATCATATATCTTAAACATGCCCCCTCATTTGGCGAGTACGGTTCATCATAAATCTACAACATGCTCTCAAACACAATGATCGCATGATGGGTTTCAATAAACGAAACTCATATACTTTGAAGCAAGCTTGCACGGCTTGAACTTTTTATTTTGATTCGTTCTCCCAACCTTCTTCTCTTCTTCTCTTCTTCTCTTCAAGACTCTTCAATTCCCATGAATTAAAGAGAACATATCCGGCTTCCTATGAAAACATATAGAGAATACAGATTTCCTGCTAAAACAAAGAGAAAATTTGAGGAAAATACAGGTTTTGTTATTATTGTTAGAATATAGAAAAAACAGAGGCTTCCTGGCGAAAACAGCGGAAGAGGGGCTTTCCTATGGAAAAACGCAGAACCCATCCATCCCCCAGCACCAACAACAAAAACCAGAATTAGAAAATTGCAACAACTTGGATCCCCTTGGCCCAGCCCTCGCTTTAACAGGGCTCGCCTACGCTTACCTGAATGGATACGCTCACGAAACCATCTTCGGACAATGGGCGACTTCATCCTCGCATGGTACGGTCTCGGGGCTACTCACTTCTGTTGCTCCTCGGGGCTGGGACCGGGAGCCTCAGTCTCGGTTAATAAGCTGTCCTTGAAACCCAATTGTTATTCGAGAGACGCGAGATTGGTGTTGTACAGCTTGGGAGCTCCTTCTTCCTGAGGCCGAAGATTCGTCCTCCATCCTGGTTTCACTCATGATCCGTCCGAGGATTGGCTTGCCCTCCCACGTATCCCACTTGTCTGGGTCGGCGATTGTCCCCGGTCACTTCCTTTCACCTGTGTCCCGTGACACGTGAACAATCTGCATTTCATCGCGCCTTGTCCCGAGTGTCGAGCTTGGCTTGAAGTTCCCTTTGCACGTCTGTCGTACGGGAGAGGGAGCGTCACGTGACAGGCTGGACATTTCACACACGCTTAAGAATCGAGCCAGCCTCAGCCTGTTCAGGCGAATCAGCATGAGTATCCGCAGACCTGGCACACCGGGTTTGGCGAGCTCACGCCGATCATCATGTTACGCTTGTGCTCCTCCTCAGACACCCACGCTGATCTCCAGAACGGCGTGACTCTCCGTGAAGCGGACCCAGTGATTGTCGTGCGGGTGACCCAGATCGGGGACTTCTCGAGTGGCACAGAGCTCTCGAAGTCTTGCCACAACCAACTGCTTCCAGTTGGCCGGACTATTCCTTCTCTTTGGGTTGCAGCAACACTGCGACGGCCGCCGTCGCGCTCGAGAGTTGTTTCCCCAGGAGAGCTGTTGGCCATGCACACTTTTGATCTTTTCGGGCCGAACTGATGTGGGCACTCACACCTCCCATTGACTTCGAAGACACATAGGCCTGCTTTCGTTTCCCTCAATCGTGCTCAAAATGAACACGTCGACGCATCCCTCACCAAGGTTCATGACAGCCCCTATAGCGCCTTCAGAACGGCCTTGTTCCCGCACATGGGCTCATTTCTTCGCGCTCTTCAAATTACTACAGCATACGTGGACAAGATACGAAAGCCACCTCTAAAACGGAAAGCCCTGGACTCGTCGATGACGTAGACGTCTTGCCCTTGTCGATGATGGACACAACATGTGCCACTAAGAGCAAGCAAACACCGGTCAGCGACGCTTTGATTGGATTGTGTCATTGCTGCGGTGCACACCTCGTCATCACGTTCTTCACCACATCATGACGTTCTTCATCGCAATCTGCCGAGAGCCAATGACTAGAACACGTGTGCACCATCGGAAGAAACGATATCATGACAGCAAGCACCTTGTCGCCCTTTGCGGTGTCTTTCGACCCATGTTTTGTGTAATACATTCTGGGTGACTATGCCAAATCCGAACACCGTCTGCCCGCGGGCCGTGCAAGCTGAGCATACCATCCTAGCTTTCATGTCCTTGGTGCGACCTTCTCTGAGCCTGTGCCGTCTCAACCCGAGCTAAGCCTCGAATTTTATCGATCTCCGCGCGCTTCTTAGCAAGACATCCGCCTCACCCTCGAGCTCTTCGGCCTGGCCGTTGAGCTCCTCCGTGGTCTCCTGGAGGTCTTCTCCATCTTCGGTTGTGACATTCACCTGCCGTGCCGATTGTCCTTTAGGCTTCCATTGGGAGCATGTCTTGCCGGGGCTGCTTCATCAACACTTCGACTGACCTGGGAAACAATCGCCATGACAGCCTCACGAAGACGTGGATACCCGTACTTTCCCCCCTGCCACTGCCTCATCTTGTTTCCCCAAATTTACCAAAAGAGAAGCTTTCCGAAGAAACCCCTCAATCTTCGCGCCTATCTGCTCAAGGGGTTTAAAGTGAGTCTTGGATGAAATGTAGCACCCAACGAATCCAAGACCAGGTAACCGGCGAAAGTCCTTGTAGAACTCCGACAACGTGGAGACAGTCCAAACGTGCCCCAACGGCTCGGGTTCCTGGTCGGGTGCAATGCGAATCACCCTCCTCCTGATTCTTCAGCAGCTAGGGATCAGGGACAGGATGAAGGAAGCACTGGAAAGGGGCTACCCAGAGTATGATGGTGCCTCGGCAATGATGGAGTATCAGCAAAGGGTCAAGCTGTTTGAGAGCGGCACGAACATCGACCCATCATGCAGGGCCACTCAAGGCCCAGAAGCTCACGGAGAAAATTGTCGGGTCACGGAGAAATTGTCGGGTCAAGCGTGGTTGGCTGTCACATCCTGACAGGGTCGAACGCTTGCTTATTGAAGCACATTTGGACCAGTCAAAGCTGATCTAGGCAGTGCCCCGCCAACTTTTGTTCGAAGCTGCTGTAGAGCTGGTGCTCCACCAAGATTGTTGCTGCGAGGCATCGCCTTGCCCAGCTCCATCATCGGGATCCCCAGGTGAAGAGCCTGCATCAGTCGGGGCAATCATCTGCTACCCTGCTCCGCCTACCCGGGCGAATGAAGCACTCGCAACGCCGTTCCAGCAAGCTTGGACATAGCTCTTTTTTGCAAGGCGTCACCCAGAGCCGAATCGGCCGCACAAGCTTCGAAGCAACCCCCATGCACCACAGGTCAGGCAGAACAGTCTTTCACATTATGGTGCGCTGGGCTTTCCCCCAGCACCTACTTCCATGCAAAAGCCTAAGCGCGTTAGGGGATGGCCGGGTTGAGGTCTGCCCGGGGTGGCTTCAAGAACAGGGTGGCAGCTCCAGCTCGCGGCTTGAGCCAAAACGGATATATCTCCCGCTCTCGGTCTCTCTGTCTGTCCAGGAAGTCCAAAAGTGGCTATCAAATGTTTGCTTTGGTCATGAGATGAGCCAATCCATTCTAGTGTAGGAACTTGGTGTTAGACGAGTCTGACCCAAAAGCCGGAAGCCACCTGTATCCACAGACTTAGGCTCAAGTGTGGCTGCTTGCCCCGTCCGAAATCCTATTCTGATCCATGAGCTTTCGGCATGAGGCCTCGGGTTCTGGGCGAGCAACGACCTGTTGCAGCTGCGCTTTTCAACGAGAACTAGATTGCCATCTGATCCCTGTTCAACAGCCCGTAAACTCTTGATTACCATTCTTGGCAGCTGTTCTTTGGGCTTCCCCTATTCTCGGGCTTGGTCTCGCTTGAAGTTGCTGGAAAACAGCTAGCAGCTAGGTCGGTAGGAACGTAACGATGCTCCTACTGTTTAGTTCGGCCCCCGGGCGATGCCGTCAGAGGTCCTGTTTACGCCCCTCCTTCAGTTGGAGGCGGACGAAGCGAAGCGTCTACCATGTAGTAGTTGCACAGCATGCGCCAACCATTTCACGACCCAACCCCAATGCGCCGAGCTCCCTCGCGTCACCGGGCGCCTTGGCTTTTGCCGCGGCCCGCTGCTGCTCGAGTTTCGCCTTGGCCTTGGCCCTTGCCGCGCTCGCCTCGACCTCGGTCTTCGCCTGCTGCAGAGCTAAGCGACGAGTAGTACTGTGTCCGAATGCCGTTGCTGTTACGGGTATGCGTATTCTTGTGCTATTGCCACTACAACATCTTTCTACAGACTGGTTCTGGCAGAGAACACGTCTATGGCTCTCATTGATGATACTCCTATCGTCGCCGGCATCGTTGTCATCTTCTTATGCGACCACTACTACTAGTACTACTACTACTACTACTACTACTACTACTACTACTGCTGCTACTGCTATTGCCACTTCCATTACCACTACCACTACCAACTACTACTACTACCACCACCACCACCACCACCACCACCACCACGGCTACTACTACTACCACTACTACTACTACTACTACTACTACTACTACTACTACTGCTGCAGCTGCTGCTACTACTACTACTACTACTACTACTGCTGCTGCTACGACTACTACCACTTCAATACTACCACTT